GACAGAGATAGAGCGAGATAGCTCTAGCTTCCTCACGTGGCGGCGCCACTGTTTCAATATGTCTCTGTCTCGTTTCTAGCGTTTAAAAAGTTTAATTTATTTATAACTTCTTAAATATATAACAATCGACACTCTATAGGCCAATTTTGTTTCGATTTGTAGAATCCATCTTTCGAAAGTAGCTCATGAAATATGTATTGGATTAATGAAAAAGTAAATCAATTTATTGTAATTCGGAATTTCTTTTTTATCATATACAGAAAAAAACAATCTGCATTATTTCGTTGCAATTATTAATTTCAAAATAAATTAGAGAATCGAAAAAGCGCTAAGTTCTTGACAAATATTTGAATAATTATCAACTGTTGTATAGCAAAATTATCTTTTTTAACTAAATAAATATTTAATAGGCTGGAAGCTGCAATACATGTCGGACATTTTGTTTGTCCATTCTCCAGAGTTATATTTGCTCATTATATTATTCATAGCTTTTGTTCTCTTAATCGTTTTTGATCTTGATCAACGAGACTACATTATATTTCAAAGAATATAAATGAACTTGATCCCTCGATCTTAAATTAATAGATATATTATACGCAAATTCTCATGGATTGTTTAAGTAACTCGTTAACTGCTTCACTCGCAATCAACGATTCACCGCGAATATTCCACGTCAACCTTTCGCTAACTAGTTTCTGTTAAGACCGGAAAGACGATACTTTAGGCCGGGTAACAACACGCTTAAAGTTCCCTTTCCCGAAACTCATGAATTAAACACACACGAAATTTCACGATACTGCATAATGAAGAACCTAACTACCCCTTTGGGATTTTTCAGGGTTGACGTGAGTCATGCGGCGTGACCTTGCGGTGTTTTAATATCAGGTTGACGCATATAAAATGATATTCCCTCAAACGGAACCTTGAGCATATGTACCTCCTACGAATTATTATATAAATGACCGAGAATTAAAGAATGAATAATAAAATTATTCGTGGATATATAAAATTTCATAATGGAACAATTTTACAATATTTAATTTGACAATATTGTAATTTGAATATTTCACAAATATCTGATTTGAATCTCGAGTTTCACGTGCTTGGATTCACATTTTACTGTGATTTATGTTATCATTGCCAAATAAATCCTGATGCAATTGAAATATTTTTAAAAAGCGAGATAATACATTAAACAATTGAATCGAATCGAATCAACTCTATTCCCTTTTAAAATTTCCAAATTCTTACGATCCCAAGTCTCTAAAAGCCTTAATTATTATTTCAAATTCGATTGATTTTACAATCTCGTCGTCTGGCGAAGATCTAAAAATCCAATCTCTTCTCTCTGTGAAAATATTTTTACACACAGGACCTTTAAATCGAACAATTAAAACTCCATATCGACTCGATAAATTCGATAAATTCGCAAAATCCTTGACAAATCCTCTACATTATTATCATTATTATTATTATTATTATTATTTCAAATTCGATCTATTTCACAATACCTCTTCAAATATTGTGCAAAAAATCGAGGCGCAATCTCCACCTCGAGGAAATATTTTTAAAAGGCGGGCAACGATGCGCGGGTAATTAAGCATCTCTGCGTTGCACGGCCGCTCCACAAACCGGGCAGTAAAAACTAAATAAATAGAGGACGTCCGGCGTAGAGTCTGGCCACGGCGAAACACGCCCGGCTGGATCAGCCCTGGAGTCTGCACGCGGGCAGAGAGCTTGCGCAAACACAAAAGCTCAGGGGAGGGGAGGGAGGAGGTAGGTGAAGAACAAACAGCAGT